CCGCAGACCGACACTCTATCCACTGAGCCAAACCGGTTAGGGCTCCATAGACTTTTTATTAGGCCTTTTGCCATTACAGAGTCACAATGGATGTGTTGATCAAATTGATCTTCCCCTTCCCACCCTCCCCCATATAATATCTACCAATCAACCTCACATTTTCTGTCTAACACAGTATGATCTGTGGTTTTGATTGCACAGATTCTCATGACATTTTCTCTGACCACAGATACTAATTGACTTTCCTGTTGAAAAGTCCTCTGATCATTCCTCGTTTTGTGGTTTACTATTCCTAAACTCTGGGCAAATACCTCTGCTGTTTCCTGTATTATAGCAAAGTAATCAAGTCCAGCTCTTGTTAGTTATTAGTTGTAATAGCACTCTCCTTAATCCTTGATTAAACTGTTCACCCCTCATCTGTCCACTGGCAGCAAATATACATATCTCCAATTTCTACTACCACTTATGTTACCTTGCTCCATGTATTGTACTTCCACCTAATCTTATACAATTGAATTGGACAGATCATCAGGGCAAAACCACACTGAGTGTGTTATACTATGAAGATTTGTGCTTTTCATCAGCATACCTAGATTAGTGTCTGAGAGCAGCAGGAGGAGACCCTACTGAGAAAACAGATGGTCTCGGGGCCGTTCCTCTGGTTCTAGAAGGAGAGGCGACTTTTTATACAGGCAGGAAGCTTGACAGTATAAAAGTGAGTTTTAAATAAATTACTTCTTTCCTAGAAACTTCTGTTTTGCTTCTCATATGATCATGACTAATTATTCTATCTCCAAGATCTAGTTCTCCTGTTTTATTTTTTGATCCTCCTCCACTTCTCCAGTACTTTCTGCTTGCTCTCAAGTAAGATTCCTTCGCCCTTGTCCAGATCACCTAGTTTCTAGGTCTTTGGTATATATAATGACATGTCTCCCTCTTGATCATTTTTTTTATAAAGTATCAACTTTATATCCATGTCATAATTGTTTCCTCTACCTGTTGGTTTCAAATTACTGACATCTCCCTGAAGTATATTCAGAACCAGGGTGTTTGAAGTTGGCTTTTGTTTGTTCACTTTTTTACTTTCCATTTAGAAGTGAAAGGTAGTTTAGGAGAAGATACAATTCTAGAGAAGTACTGAAGCCATGTTAAAGAAATTGGCCCATTCTCTCTCTTCTTCGACTAAGAGTATAGTGGGAATTTTGTTTTCCACAGAAGACTACATTTAAATACTTATTTAATTTCGTTATTTTTAAAAGGTAGTTGATGCACCAAAAAGTGTTACTTTTGCCCAGGCAGCGTGGCTCAGTGGTTGAGCATCAACCTATGAATTAGGAGGCCATGGTTCTATTTCCCGTCAGGGCACATGCCCAGGTTTCGGGCTCGATCCCCAGTGTGGGACTTGCAAGAGGCAGCCAATCAATGATTCTCTCTTATCATTGATGTTTCTATCTCTTCCTCTCCATTCCTCTCAGAAATCAATACAAATATATACTTTTTAAAAAGTTGTCACTTTCAGTGCTCGCTTCGGCAGCACATATACTAAAAAGTTGTCACTTTCAATTTTTTTTTTTTAATGGGGATAGTGGATAGAGAAATGTGGAAAAAGAATAGGAAAGTGGTAAATTCCACAGTACATGCGGAGAGATTTATCTTTTTCTCTCAAATAGGAGACAGGAGAAGGAGATAGATACAGAAACTAAGATAAATTTAGGTGATATTTATGAATATAATACCTTTTATTTATTAAACACCAAGTGCCTTGCATTGTGCTAACCACTTTATATGCATTATCTTATTTAATTTGCACAACTCTCCTATGAGATGTGAATATTATTACTCCCATATTACTTTACACATGAAAGAACAGGTTTACAGGCCCTAAGTTAACTTGCCCAAGATCATTCAGCTTGTAAGCAGCCCCAACCTGACTTCAAGGCCACATTCTCAACAGCTTTGCCTCTCTGGGTAGATGTATTTGTGGATGAGATTTATGTTTGTAGGAATAATATTCATCTTGCAGTTTATAAAATATCTTAGAGATTTTCAGATTGTAATGTCTCTATATCACTTTATGAGAAAAGAAAACTAAAGTTCAAAGGTATTAGTAATTTCAGTTTAAACTAGTTATCTAAAAATATTCAGGCAGTGCTTTTCTCCATATCTTAAAGGCTGGAATTACTTACTTTTTTATTACATTTGCCAAGTTTTATTTTATCAATTTATAAATTTCTATGACATTCTCACCCTGTTATTCATACTCTGTATACAACTAATTTATGATATTACCGTTTTCTTTTGTTATCCAATTGCCTATTTTATAAAATGATAAAATTTATTTGTCTTTTCTTTATCATTTTTATATAATTTATATATTTTATATGTTAATAAATAATTTAAGAATTTAATACATAATTTTTTTATTTTTTATGAAATTAGTATTTTAGAGACTGATGAGTGAGATTAGAAGGAATATTCAAAGCTTAGAAAAGAAAGCTTTGACTAGATAATGCAGCAAAAGTGATTGGGTATAAATGCAAAAAGTATTCTTGATTATAATTTAACTGTAAACTCTCGGGAAAAATGGGCCTAAACTGTTCAGTACTATACTAATACATACTTTGCTATTCTACACTGCAATTATATAAAGGTACTGTTGAGTAATAATCAGCATTGTTGACAGTGGACCAGTTACAGACCTTTTCGATAAATGTCAAGTTCTAAAAGAGGAAGAAATTGAGGCTGATGGTCCTTGAGAAGACAGGTCAGTTATACCAGGAATGGGATACCCTTTTAGATAAAAGTGTATAAATGTTCATATGTGCTGTATGATAACAGCTTTAAGGGAAATCCTCCTAGAAATTACCCACCCTAAAGTGTCATTTGGAAAAAAATTATAAAATTATAGTTCTTCTCCTAGCACACAGCCAATCATTATATGATCTACATAAACTAAATTATAAAGCCTAAATATTGTGTAATATAATGGGGTGTTGAAATGTATTGTGATAAGTGTAAACAGAAAGGTCAGATCTATTCCGTAGAAAATTGGAAAGAACTTCTATTTTTTTCTCTTAAATTATCCTAGGACAAGGTAGAACCTTAAAAATAGGATAGATAATGATGACCATGGCTCTGGTTCTCAAGGAGCTTGAAATGTATTCAAAGAGATGAGTAACTAAGCAGTCAACTACAATTCATGGTATAAAGTGCTATGATCATGGTAAGAGCATGTTTCTATAAAATCATGTAAAAGGAGCACCTAATACCTGACTAAGGTAGGATCATTACTTTCTATGATATGAATCCTCAAGCCCTTAGCATAGTGCTGAGCATATTATGAGCATTTAAATGTTTGGTGAATTGAAACATATCTGATTTTTTTTTAAAGTATAAATCTGGACTTAATTTTTGCTTAAAACAATGTCTTTAAACTTTATATCAAAATGTTTTTCTTTATAAATACTTTCCATGTTGTTATAGTAATTTCAATTACTATAAATTAATCACTGTCTACAGCTAACTCTAGAATGTAACTGTAAGCACACAGGAAAAAAGTTTGTACTTTAGGAAGAGCTATGCCCACAGTGCAGGACACATAATAAATGTTTAAAAATAATTACTTAGTTTTTAAAGCTTTAGAATTAATTTAGTAATTTCTCTACCCACACCACCAACCTCTTTAAAGGAATTTCTTATTCTTACTTACTAAGATCAATTCTGATGATAAGAGAGAACATGCAAAGTATGGTTTGTGCAGTACTAAACACGTATTAACCAGTGGCAACTTTCAACAGGTAAATTAAAGTCATATCTTTGCAAATCTGAAGAAAAATGGCTCACAATCCTTATGTGTATACTAGTGACACACATGATTGGAATCAGAGCTAATACACATGAAAAATTAAAGATCAATGCTAAATTCTTTGGTAGTGACTATAAATATGACTTCATTGATTGACTCAATAAAGTTTAATGAGTACAGTACACTAAGGGCCAGAGATATTGAGATTAAAACATATAGTTTGGGGAATAAGGCAGGAAAACACAATTATGGCATAGTGTGATTCAGTGCTACAATAGAAATAGGTACAAAGTACTTTACTACAGAGAAAGGAAAATTTGATATGAATTGGATTAGTCATATTGGCTTATGAGTATAGGCAAAGTGATATCATTTTATTGTGACTGTGTCTTACTTAGTACCTGTTGTATTTTTAGGAACTTGTATAGTATTTTTCTATTTTGTGAAATGAGATTATAACCTCCCAAGGCTATTTGTAAGTCATTTACTTGTTGAACATGCCAGTAGCTCCTCAAATTATAGTATAATTTCTGCTGAAACCAGTTTGGCTCAGTGATAGAGTGTCAGCCTGCGGACTGAAAGGTCCCAGGTTCAATTCCGGTCAAGGGCATGTACCTTGGTTACAGGCACATCCCTGGTAGGGGGTGTGCAAGAGGCAGCTGGTCGATGTTTCTCTCTCATCGACGTTTCTAGCTCTCTATTTCTCTCCCTTCCTCTGTAAAAAATCAATAAAATATATATATATTTTTTAAATTATAGTATAATTTCTCATTATACTGTAGTATACCAATTATAAACTATATTCAAAGCCAGCTAGATTTAATTCAGTGAGCAAATAAGATATCTTCTTGGTCTATTTATTATGTTATGAAGATCTAACTAGTAGGAATAGTTAATATGCTTTACACGTACATAGTATAAAGTATTTTTTAAATATTAACTATTTTTGCCCTGGCTGATGTTGCTCAGTTGGTTGAGAACCCTCCCATGCACCAAAAGGTCACTGGTTTGATTCCGGGTCAGGGCACATGTCCGGCTTGTGGGCACAGGGTACAGGAGGCAGCCCATTGATGTTTCTCTCCCATGTTTCCCTCTCTTCCAATCTCTCTCAAATCAATAGAAAAATATTAAAAATAAATATTAACTAGTTTTGATCAGTTTATCAGTCTTTTTTCTTTTGTTATTTCTTATTAAGGGTCTACTGTATTTGCTGGTAACAGACCAGGGGTTTCTTACTGAAGAAAAAATTGTTTGGGAAAGCCTTCACAATGTTGATGGTGATGGAAATTTCTGTGACTCAGATTTTCATCTGCGGCCTCCTTCAGATCCTGAAACTGTGTACAAAGGACAACAAGATCAAATAGATCAGGTAAATTTGTTTATTTCTTCATATTATTTAAAATGTTTATTCCTTTCAAATACAAATTTAGTTATCCAAAACTTTTGAACTAAAGATTTAGTATTCATTAATATACTTATGTAATTTTTCTGACAATTACAAAATAGATAGGTCAAGCCAGGACTGGTTTGGCTCAATGCATAGCGTTGGCCTGCGGACTGAAAGGTCCCAGGTTCGATTCTGGTCAAGGGCATATACCTTGGTTGCGGGTACATCTCCAGTAGGGGGTGTGCAGGAGGCAGCTGATCGATGTTTCTCTCTCGTCCCTCTATCCCTCTCCTTTCTTCTCTGTAAAAAATCAATAAAATACATTTTTAAAATTAGATAGGTCATCATTCTATATGCATATTAATTGCACAGTTTGGTTCAGAAGGCCAGATCATCTAGGACTGTAATGGACTGTAACGAATTTGAATTTTATTTAAATTGTGGTAGGGAAGATATGCCAGGTATATCTTGGAAGTGAACTACTTCACCTTTTTAAAAGGTTGAGAGGTGAAGAATACAGAGGAAGGACACAGGTATAAGTAGAGACTAGTAGTCCAAGCAAGAGATAGAGATGAAGAGTCAAGTACATCTTTGAGATGTATTTTGGCTAATTAGAAAACAGAAAAGAGGGAGTCTTGAAGATAGTGTGCACTGGATAAAGTGTAGTGAGTATTCTAAGCCTTAGAGTTAAGGAAGAGTAGATTAGTGAGTAGAATTCCCATTTAGAACTGAGACAGAGAGGATTTTTAAAAATTGATTTGAGAGAGAGGGATGGAGGGATAGAAACGAGAGAGGAACATTGATCAGCTGACTGATAATTGAACCATGACTTCCTTGTTCATAGGTGACTCAACCACTGAGCCACACTGGCCAGGCAGGGGCAACATTTTTAAGTTTTCTCTAATGCCTTCTATACTTCTAGAAATAATTTCAGATGAATTCCAAAAACATTTAGAATAATAGTAGCATCACTGAAATAAGTTAATATTCTTTAGCAGAAGCACTTTTTTTTTTTTTTTAATTGATTTCAGGGAGGAAGGGAGAGGGAAGAGAGAAATAGAAACATCAGTGATGAGAGAGAATCATTGATTGGCTGCCTCCTGCACATCCCCTACTGGGGATTGAGTCTGCATCCTGGGCATGTGCGGTGACTGGAATCGAACCTTAGGCCCCTTCAGTCCGCACGCAGGCTGACGCTGTATCCAATAAGCCAAACCAGCTAGGGCCCAAGCAGAAGCACTTAAATAACTTTTGTTTTTATATTTAACCTCTGGTATGTTTTTAAAAAGCCATTCTTAGTTTTGTAGATATAACCTCTATATTTACACTCATTAGTTCTTAGGTAATGTCTCATAGCTAAAGATAGTTATAATTTCATTTCTTAGGACTATCTTATGGCGTTATCTCTACAACAAGAACAGCAGAGCCAAGAGATCAATTGGGAGCAAGCGCCTGAAGGAATCAGTGATTTGGAACTTGCGAAGAAACTCCAAGAAGAGGAGGATCGACGGGCTTCTCAGTATTACCAGGAACAGGAACAAGCAGCAGCCGCTGCTGCTGCTGCTGCTGCTGCTTCTGCTACTTCTGCTCCTGCCCAGGCTCAGGTGAAACCAGTGTTCTTATTCTTAAACATAATGATCACTTTAACAATAAAAAGATTTGTGCTGAGATAAACATTTTTAAATTATATATTGACTCTTTAATTATAAAAACATTTTAGCACCCATTAGGTTTCTTTTTCTTGTGTTTTTTTTCTTCTTTACCCATTAGATTTTATAACATTATCCTATTTTTGTGGTTATCTTAATATTTTTCTCATTTTCTGAAGTTATTTTTCATAAGGTTCTGATGACAAGAGTTTTCAAATTTATTTTTTTAAGTAAATCTTTATTGTTCATATTATTACAAATGTTCCTCTTTTTTTTTTTCCTCCATTGCTCCCCTCCACCAGGTTCCCACCCTATCCTCTGCCCTTTCCCCACCCCCCATTGTCCTCATCCATAGGTGCACAGTTTATGTTCAGTCTCTTCCTGCACCCCCCACTCTCCTTTTCCCCAAGAATCGTCAGTCCACTCCCCTTCCATACCTCTGATTTTATTATATTTACCAGTTAATATTGTTCATCAGATTTTTTTAAATCCCTTGGTTTTTAGATTCACTTGAAAATTACCTATTTGTTGTTCATAATTTTTATCTTTATTTTCTTCCTCTTCCTAAAGATCAAATTTCTTTTTTAAAGTTACTAATAGCTGCCCAGAATATAGGCCTATTTAAATAGTCTTTCCTGTCAGTCAGAGGGCAGTGTGAGGTACTACTGGAAGAATGTAGACTCGAGTCAGATGTGGATTTGCATTTCCTGCAACACTTTGAACCAAGCCATCTGCCTCTTAGCCTCATTTTCCATGTCTGTAAAATAGAAGATAATACTTAACTCTTAGGTTTGTGGTTGAGAACAACTAAACCCAGTGTCTGGCATGTACTAAGTATCCAACCAAGATTAGCACTTTCCCACTTTTTACTCTTCCCAGCTGAATGTTTTATGCACTGTAAATGTGACTGTTAAATCTCAGTTTCTATATGTTAAATCTCATTGTATTAAATGGGGGGGAGGGGGGGAATCCTCCTTTTTATGTTTAACTGTACAATGCCAGAAGTATAAGAAAGCAAGATGTCCTGTAAGAGCTGATGAAGATTTAAATATAGAGGTCTCCATTAAAATAAAATAACATACGGTATCTATTTCTAGCTCAAATATTGACTACCCTAAGCTTAAAAGTTAAAACCTACCATTTATGATTAACTTCTCATTAAAAATTTTCTCACCCTAGTCCATTTGGCTCAGTGGATAGAGCATTGGCCTACAGAACAAAGGGTTCCAGGTGTGATTCTGGTCAAGGGCATGTGCCTTGGTTGCAGGCTCCTCCTTTGGCCCAGGCCCTGGGGCTTATGCAGGAGGCAACCAATCAATGTGTTCCTCTCACATCGATGTTTCTCTCTGTCTTTCCCTCTCTCTTCCCCTAGAAAATCAGTGGGAAAATATCCTTGGGTGAGGATTTAAATTTTTTTTCTTTTTCTCTTATTTCACTGAATATACTTATTTCATACTCTCAGTTTTAAATATTTTTTCTTCCTTTTAAAATCTGTTTATTATGGTAGTTAATAGGGTCTTAAAGAACTATTGTAGTTTACCAAATTGTATCACTTTCTTTTTAAAAATATATATATTTTATTAATTTTTTACAGAGAGGAAGGGAGAGGAATAGAGAGTCAGAAACATCGATGAGAGAGAAACATCCATCAGCTGCCTCCTGCACACCTCCTACTGGGGATGTGCCCACAACCAAGGTACGTGCCCTAGACCAGAATCGAACCTGGGACCCTTCACTCTGCAGGCCGATGTTCTGTCCACTGAGCCAAACCGGTTATGGCCCAAATGGTATCACTTTCATTAACATTCTCTAAACTTCAACATAAATATTTCTTGAATTTGAGACTTCAGGCAACATGATCTTACTTGACGTTATTTATTGTTTGAAATTTCTATTTACTTAGAATAGTTTATCCAAAACGGTAGAGGAAACTATTCAGATACCATATAACAAGGCTATATGCCAGTAGCTTCTTTTTTCAGTAATGAGTTTTTTCACTCTTTCGGTTTTTTCTCTCTAGATAACTGTGATTAAGCATAGTTAAGAAAGTTGAGGTAATTTCTTCCTGTTTGTTTTTCCTAAAGCAAAGCCAACCAGCACAAGCCTCTCCGACAAGTGGAAGACAATCTGGGAGTAGTGAACGTAAACGAAAGGAACCTCGAGAAAAAGATAAAGAAAAAGAAAAGGAAAAAAATAGCTGTGTTATTTTGTAACAAGTGTTGGATTCTATTGAAACCACCTATATGTCTTGAGAAACAAAACCACAGGAGGAAAGGAAGAAAACCCGATAAATACCGTCTGTGCCTGATTTTCCAATGGATTTTGTTCATGTTTTTCAGGGGAAAGGTTGTTACATAACTACAATTAGACTTTTTCAAGTCACACAGTACACTATTTATGAGCTGGAGTTTCCTGTTACAGTAGGAAATGCTGTGTGTTGTCATTCATGAAAAATACTACACTTGTAGCCAAATAAGCAAATCACAGTAACTTTTGTGTCATAGTGACATTCATAACTCATATCAGTTAGTAAGCTATTTTTTCTTCTGTTCTAACAATGAATGAAGGTAATTGATTTTGTCTGATTCCTTCCTGAAAACTAAATACTAGCACAATAGTTTCTGAAATTAATTTTTACAATATTAAATTATGATCTAATCCACAAGAAACCAGGGGTTTAATATAGGGATTTAAAAAGAAAAAAAATTAAAAAAAATAACAGGAATAAATAATCCTTAATTGTATATTGGACTAGTTCAGCCCTTGAACAGCTTTACCTTTCTTTAGGAATGTACATTTTAGATATTATCATAAGAACTGATCATGGAGCTCGGATTTAATTAGATAGAAAAAATAAAGACTTGTATTTTTTTTTCCAGTAGCAAAAAATTACATAATACTAATACTCATATTCTACCAAAATCAGATATTATGACTTTGTAGTGTTGTGAAATTTTGAGGAATTTTGAAATCTTTAATATAGGTAACTTGGACCACAGCTACTATTTACTGGCAGTGTAATAAGTGAGAGTCAGAAGGAAACCACAGTGGATGCTGGACTTTGTAAATATGAGGGTGGAGAAAAGGAAGTAGTTCAGTGTCTACCTTTTTCTAGAATTACCTTGAACCTTAAAACTTAAACCATGTTTATTTGCTAGAAAATTAAGTATAATTATTAAAATCAACAAAAAAGCACATTTCTGAAGGGAAGTTAGGTTATAACCTCTGAGTCTAGTAAAAAGCAGTAGTAGAAATCTGTTGGAGAAATTTATATAAAAGCAATCACATTTTTTTAACTTATGGGAACCAAATAAACCTATAACATCTTGTAGTGTTTGTAGGATTCAGAAAGAATATTTATTGAACTTTATCATGAGGCAACACATGTATTTCTGTATTTCTAGATATAGTTTGGAAAACTATCCTTACAGTCACTTTTATATGCTTTGTATTTAAAAGTTTGTTTTGGTCATTTTTGAAATGACTATTGCTGCTGCAAGTAGTTCTGTGATTTACATTCTAAGCCTCAGTAAGTTTGTTTAAGAGGATCTATCTAACCTGAGCATCCACTTGGAGAATGTTTTTTGTGATCTGGGTGACAATAGACTACAAAAAAAAGTGATCTAGATTGCTTAAGATATGTCCTTAACATTCTCCATGATCCAAGAGGATTAGTCTACATGTAAAAAGTGAAGTCTTATTTATGGAAGGAATTATTCTAAGGGAAAAATCCAGGGTCAAGCTATATCTTTTATGTCTTGTGTATTGCATGTCTGTTTATGTTATACCATTTGTTATTCTTTCAAATTTCCTATGCTAGCATGATAATCATCAGAAAACCTGTTTGGGGCATAAAATTTCAATATAAAATATTTTGTGAGTCTCTTGATAATAACCCAGAATATGTGTAGATTAGTGAAGTAACCAAATGTACTGCAGAATTCTCTGCTGGCTCAAACAAGTTGACCTTAGTCCAGGTTTACTTTTTTTTTTCTTCTTTTTCTTTAATGTACTTTTATTTATTTCAGAGAGAAAGGGAGAAGGATAGAAACATCACTGATGAGAGAGAATCATTGATCGGCTGCCTCCTGCAAGCCCCACACTGGGGATCAAGCCTGCAAACTGGGCATGTGGCCTTGACGCGGGACTGAAATTGGGACCTTCAGTGCACAGGCCAATGCTCCATTCACTGAGCCAAACCAGCGAGGGCCACATTTACTCTTGTCATTCTGGTTGAAGGAGGAAACTACAACTTCAGGGTTTGTTTTTCCCCAGATGGTAGTGATAGTGCAGTATATAAGAAACACACACACTCACACACAAAATAAATCCTCAGAAATTTCACAAAGCATATTTGAGGCGTATTTTCTCATAATGATACTTACTATTTATTGCCCTTGAAAAATTTACGTGTTATTCTTCTGTTGTTTGCTACTGTCTACTTAATTTGTTCAAAAGATAATACTGCCATTCTCCATTCCCTCTGGAAGAAAAAAAAAAGACTCACTGAAAAGCAGCAGTGCTATCAGATAAGTAGATTCAATGTATACTTATAAGAAGTAATTTAAAAATGTAATGTGTTTGTTAATTCAGCCTTTTTCTATGTAATATTTCCAAGTCAGATTTTCTTACATTCCTGGAATGTTTGATATACCAAGAATAATAATGATAAAATGTTTGCTTTGATTACTGTGGGGGGAAAATTAAATGTTCAATTCTATTAAAACAAACAAACTTCTCAGAGATACTGGTTTCCCATCCTTGAAGGTTATAAAGAATTTAGAGCTATTGTGTCTTTATTTTCTTATATTTTGCTCAAGGCAACAAATTATACTCAGACATTTCATTGCTGATTTGGGTATATAGGAATTTGATAATGATATATTAAAGTCTTTCCTTCACAGTATTTTGCAATACTTGAAAATTGTTGCATGTATACTGCTAGCAGTAGTTAGAATGCAAACATTTTTGCTTTTAATATTTATAGGCTAGATTAGGGGCACATTTCCATCAACCAGTCAACATTACAGTTAGTAAAAGAGCACATGAATGAATGATATAATCACTGGGCTTTCTCATACTTTTAAAATATGTTCTTAAGGTTAATGAGCAATCTTTATTAACAATATGAATTTTCTTCATATCTAATTCCATTGAATCAACAGTGCTATGATGCACAATAGGTTTTTGACATTTAACAGTACTTACTGTGTATTCTAAAGCAAGGATCCATGACTTCTATTAGATTCTCAAAGGAATCTAAGTTTTTTCCTCAAATTTAAGAGCTAACATTTTAAGACACACTAAGTTTGTGGCAGCTAAAATTGGCAGTGACTGCTTCCTATAATATGCTGACTCACTGTGCTTATGTAAAGTGACTTCTGTTTCAAGGTGTCATGTTAGTTAAATGAGGCATAGATTTAAGTTTAGGAATAGGCTTTGGAAGCATATTGTTTTATTGTCTCACATTTCTAATACTTGTCTATTTATCCCTTAAGATGTTTTCAATTTTTCCTTGAACTTTCTTACCTTAGTTTAATTAAGCAAGTTAGTGTCAAAAGTTAGTGACTGAATTCAACATTAACCATTTTGTACTTGCACAAAAACTTATTTTGTTTTTAATGAAGCACCACTTCAGTTCACTAAGAGATAGAAGATCTTGAGAGGAAAGGATTAGAAGTCCAATATGTATTTAAGGAACAAATTATTGTCCCTATATTAATATAGGCAGATGAAGCAGAAAAATCAAGGCAAAAATTTCCAGAACTGTCCTCAAACAATCTCATTTATTTTAAAAAGAATTTTTTTTAAAGTAAACTTTCCTAGACAATATACCAGTTATTTTAAAACATGATGGAAATCTATGGGCTTTACCTACCACACAATACAACTTAAACTATAATTGTAAACTACTTAAGTTTGATAAGGTGGAGGCATTAAAGATATTATTTAAGTTATACTTTAAGGAACTGGAAATGTGGAATTCTGAATAATTTTATGTCTAACAATCTGGCTTTTATCTTGCCCTGGTAAAACTTCCTGTGCCTCAGTTTACTCTAAACATGTAAATAATGCTTACTTTTTAGTGCTTTGCACTCCTGAATAAAGGGCATAGTATAAGCACAAAGTATCACCTAAATAATCAAATATCACACACCTTTTGTTCTTGGATGTGCAGTGACAATATTTTTCTCCCAATGACAATATTTTTTAAGCCAGTTTTTTAATGCTGTCAAACTTTATAGAATTACCTTGTCTTTACGTATGATATCATCTCTTCTCAAAATGTATTTTACAGTTGCTTTTGTGTTCAGTGGGCTATAGAGTCCCAATCAAGAGTATTTTGAGAATGAAAAGCATTACGTTTTCATTTCCCCCCAATATCTTTCATATGTCTAAATATTTAGATTCTCTTCTTTTTCCTCCATGGAACAAAGTACAGTGGTAGTATATGTAAACTTTATTGCATGGATGGAATTCATTTAGATCTCTCAAATACTGTCATTTGGGCATCTATTTAAATTACTTGTTTTTTAGTATAAAATGTTATTTGATAATGTGCGGTTAAATTCTATTTAGGAAGTTACTGAAAATGGTAAAGGAATTCATCAGAATCAGAGTTCTTTGGTTCTCTGGTAATTGGTGTCTTTTTTTTAATTTATTTTTTACTGATGTCCAGCACTTCTGAAGCTATTGGGAAAACATGAAGAATTGAGGTTATTCTTCTCCGGTGACACTACAAGATAAAGTAAATTTTAAAATAGAAGACTTCCTGGACAAAACAAATTGCTAAATAGAGATAACAGAGTTTGACAAATTGCAGGACCCTGGTAAATTTAACTTGAAAAATAGATCTAGATTTTAAATCATGCATATATCTTACTTAATCCTCATGGGTTTTATTTTGTTTTAATCCTTGTGTTTCTGCTGTTAAGAACTTAGAGTTTAATAAATTATATACATATATTTTTATATGGAGGGTTCTAGTTTCTAATTTCACTTCTATCTCAAAAATAGTAAACTCAAAAACAGGGTAAAAGTCTTCAACTACTGCCACAAGTTCAGTTTCATACTATTGCTCTAAGAAAGGAGGAAATTTGACTTCTCTGCCTATCCATGTGTTGTTTTTTTAGAACATGGTACTATTCCAAATAAGGTGTTGAAATACCATGGCAAAAACACAAAACCTAAACTTTAAACCACAGTAGATTAAAGAACAAAAATTGTATTATTTTTCTAAAATAGTCTCTTTTGTCAGATATTCTAAGAATTTCTTCAAATCATATAGTAATTTGTCACCAATAGCTTTGAAATCTTTATATTTATCCTCCCTGAAATAGCCTGCTTTGAGAGGAAGGAATGCCTCTTGGATTAGAAAATGCACAAAGCAAAATTATGAATTTTGCGATCCTGGCTTTAGTAGATACAGTTTTAAATAGGAAGTAGGGAAACTAAATTATCCACTTAAATTCCCAAATCAGAAACCTGTCAAAATGAACATTATAACAAATGTCCAACTGAGCAGTTCTGACTAATGTGATTATTTTAAGACTAAAATTGACAATCTTTGAAGAGATGTCCTCTGTGTCTCCCAATTTTGTCAGTTTTTATTGTTCCTTTTTATATCTTCATTCTACAAAATAATCATTTTTTTCCAGGGTACATAGGATATCTAAGTTTTACAGATTTTTAAAGATGAGGATTTGAAAAGCTTCCAATGTGTTTTTGTTAAAAGGCTCTATCTTCCTCAAGAAAATGACAACTCCTGTTTTCAGATCTGCACAGCAGAGGTAAGACAATGTGATAGAAGTTGGATATCTGATAGCTACACAACAGTCAGCAAAAGGGATAACCTTCACTTGGGAAATTTCAGAGAAACTCTAAAAGTTATTTCCTAAAGTTAGTGCATGCAAGTCTTTCTCTGTGACTTGTGCAGAATAATGGGGGCACAGATTTGGGGGAACAGCAAGTGAAATGGCATAAAGATTGCAGAGAAAGTGATCTTGAAATATAACAAGAAGAAACCAGTCTTTCCCCCTCTGCTTGACTGTGGGACTATTTGGGTCAAGAGGTTGCTATGACAGAGATCTCTGTGCCAGGCCAAGACTGGCCAATTGAAACAGTTCTTAAAGAGTTTAAATAGACTATGTATGATGCCTATTTTTTCCTCTTTTAGTATCGTAATGCCCTCATTACTTCTAAAATAATTCATCTGTTTTGCTTTTATGACCAGCTTTAAACCTATTTAAGAATAATAGCCACCCTAGAGCTGATAGGAAAGAGCATTGAAATACATTCTAATTATGCTAAAACTATTTAATTCTAAAAAATGTGTCAAGTTTTAAAACTTTCACTTGGAAGATATTTCTAGAAAAGGCATATTGAACATAGATGGGGAAGTATAAAATATTTCTGATAGGATTATTCAGTATTATTCAACATGTAATTTTATGTTTGTTGCTGTACCACAAAGATGGTGTCATTCTTGGATTAAAATGTTGGATTTCTTGTTAATATGCTTAAAATTGTAACAAGTGATAACACTATTAGCATTTTTTTATTATAGATTATATTTTATTTCAATAAACTTTGTTATTTAGACCAGTGTTTCTGCTATATATATACATTCATCTCATTAAGTTCTTTTAAATCCTCACTCAATGCTATGTTTTTTAAATTAACTTTTAGAGAGAGGGAGAGAGAGTGACAGAAACATTGATGTGAGAGAAACATGGATCAGTTGCCTCCATAAGCCCTCCAACTGCGCATCAAACCTACAACCTAGTTATATACCCTGACTGGGAATCAAACTCACAACCTTTTAGTGTACAGCAGTGTTTCCCAAACTTCTCTCATGATGAGAATCACCTAAGCTTAGAGCACTAGCTAAGTACAATTTTACCTAGATGTTCCCAAAAATTCTAGTTTAGCACTTCTTAGTTGGGATTCAGGAATCTGTAGTTTAACAACTCCACCAGGTGATTCTCATCATGAGGGGAGTTTGGGAAACACTGGTGTACAGGATAGTGCTCCAACCAACTGAGCCACTCAGTTGACATATTGATTCAAATTTATGTTAGAATAGTTGGACCAACTCTTGATAAAGACAGTTCCCCCACCCCAGGAAGTGAATAATGAAACAATTAACTGTAGACCATATAATTAATCACCTGAACCCAGTGGTAGGTTTGTTTGTTATAACTGGTACTTCTCTTGGAGGACTTAAGTTAGAAAGAGCTGAGAATGGGCCGAAGCGGTTTGGCTCAATGGATAGAGCGTCGGCTTGGGGACTGAAGAGCCCCGGGTTCGATTCCGGTCAAGGGCATGTACCTTAGTTGCGGGCACATCCCCAGTGGGGGGTGTGCAAGAGGCAGCTGATCGATGACTCTCTCATCGATGTTTCTAACTCTATCTCTCTCTGTACAAAATCAATAAAAAAAAAGAAAAAAGAAAGAGCTGAGAATGGATCAATTTCTCTTTATACCAAGCCAACTGTAATGTAAAGTTTTGTACAACAATTTAATGTCCAAACCAGCTAATACCTGATATTTCCCTGTGAAAGCTTTTGTAGACTCCCCAGCCCTCTAAGCAGAATTATTCATTCCATATAGTGTTTTGCTGAACTCCCCTCATTTTGCACTTAAGCTAGACTGTGAGCCTTTTAAGGACATAGATCATGTCTTATTAATCTTGGCACATTACATAATCATTGGTACTTTAAATAAACAGAAATATCTATTTATAGGAATTTTTAAAGAACAACGATATTATACTATAGGCCCTGTGCATGAAATTCATGCTGCGGCAGGGGGTGGAGGGTTGTATGTTCCTTAGCCCAGCCTGCACCCTCTTCAATCTGGGATCCTTCTCACAATCCAGGACTGCTGGCTCCCAACTGCTCACCTGCCTGCCTGCCTGATTGCCCCTAACTGCTTCTGCCTGCCAGATTGATAACCCCCTAACCACTCCCTGCCAGCCTGATTGACACCTAACTACTCCCCTGCCGGCCTGATTGACCCCAACTGCCCTCTCCTGCCAGCCTGGTTGCCCCCAACTGTCCTCCCCTGCAGGCCTGGTAGCCTGCAACTGCCCTCCTGTGCTGGCCTGGTCACTTCTAACTGCCCTCCCCTGAAGGCCTGATCACCCCCAACTGTCCTCCCTTTCAGGCTTAGTCCCTTTCAACTGCTCTCCCCTGCAGGTCTGATTGCCCACAACTGCCCTCCTCTACCAGCCATCTTGTGGCCACCTGGGGCCAGCCATCTTGTGTGTTGGAGTGATGGTCAATTTGCATATTACCTCTTTATTATATAGGATAGTTACTAGAGGCCCGTAGCGTCACTCCCAGTGATCGGGGCCGATCAGGGCCATCTCGCCCAGTCCCAATTGGGGCCAAACGGGGCCAATGGCTGGGAGAGTTAGTGAAACTTAACAAATAAAAAGAGGCAGCTCTGAAGATTATAAACTGTGCGCTGAGAATGCCAGAGGCTGCAGCATGCAGTCCATGGCTCTCTGATCATGCATAGCAGCCTTGCATGCCACCCAGGCCCTCCTGGCTCCCACCCCGGCTCCCCTCCACCCAGGGCTCAGGCCAAACCCTGGGAGCCTCCTGGTGGTTCTCATCTCACACCTCGCTTTCCAGAGCCACCAGCGCCTGCAGCAAGCTGACATATCGGTTGAAGCATTTGCCTCCTGGTGGTCAGTACGCATCCTAGTGACTGGTTGAGTGGTCTAACTCCCAGTGGAACTCTGGTCAAGGGGACAATTTGTATATTAGGCTTTTATTACATAGGACTAGAGGCCTGGTGTATGAATTCGTACGTGGGAGGAGTCCCTCAGCCTGGCCAGCAATTGGGGCTGATGAGGGCTGTCTTGCCAGGTCCCACTGGGGCCACTGGGGTCAGCAGGTCAGGGGGAGGGACTGAGGGAGGCACACTGACCACCAGGGGGCAGCTCCTGCATTGAGCGTCTGCCCCCTGGTGGTCAGACAGGGGTGGTAGAGCCAGTTGCATGTCATAGTGACTGGTTGACCATTTGTTCCACTGGTCGAATGGTCACTTAGGCTTTTATATATATATATATATATATATGGAGAGAGAGAGAGAGAGAGAGAGAGAGAGAGAGAGAGAGAGAGAGAGAGAGACTAGAAGCCCAGTGCACAAAATTCATGCACAGCCTAGCCTGTACCCTCTCCAATCTGGGACATTCCTCTCACAATCTGGAACTGCTGGCTCCTAACTGCTCACCTGCTTGCATGCCTGATAGCCCCTAACTGCCCCCCCCACCACCACCAGGCAGATCACCCCTAACAGCCTCTGCCTCCTGGCCTGATCTCCCACAACTGCCCCTGCTGCCAGCCTGGTTGTCCCTTACTGCCCTGTCCACTGGCCTGGTTGCCCCCAACTACCCCCCACCCCCGCTGGCCTGGTCACCCCCAACAGCACCCTCCCTCACCGGCCTGTTTGCCCCTAACTGCCCCCCCCGACCAGCCTTGTTGCCTCACGCAGCCTGCTGTTCAGTTGTTTGGTGGTCCCTCACTAACCCCCCTGGAGGCCTGGTCACACCACACAGCCTGCTGTTTCAGTCATGACAGCCCCTGGCTTTTTATGTACTGTGCTTTAAATAAGATAAGTGAGTTGGATTATTGAATCCATTTTCTCCTTTAGCATAAAAGTTATGTGCATAGAGGTAACTAAAATCCTTAATCCTTTATCCACTCTCCTCTCCCCCCTCTCTGGTTTTCCCTGAGTATTATCCTGCATCTTCTTAGTCATGGGAAGGACACTTGGGAAGTAGCAGCCTCAGCAAAACTAGAATTAGCAGCATTGCTCTTCTCCCATTTCATAGCCCTCTCCTGGATCTCTTCCCTACACAGTAGGCACCTATTAATTTGTTGGAGCTGAAATGTAAAGGAAGGCAATATGACCTATAATCATTTTTTCTTGCAAATAATACCCGGAAAAGGACATAAATCTAGGCCAGGTCTCTGTTCAAATTTTTATGCTGGACTTTCTTTTGTCATTTTTATCTAAACCCTGCAAAAATCTTCAAAACTGGGCCTACTAGCCTTTTCTGTACACTGTAGTCTTAGATCAAGTTAATTCTGCACAGCCTGGTTTCTCATCTCTAAAACAGAATAACTTTTACCTCTTAAAATTGTTGTAATATACAGTGTCATATACATAATAAAGTCAATAAATTGTAACATTGTGAATTACAGACTAGGGAAAACTTTTAAAAATTATTTTTTATGTGCTTTGTTTTTTAAAATATATATTTTTATGGATTTCAGAGAGGAAGGGAGGGAGATAGATAGAAACATAGAAACATCAATGATGGTACATAAGTACGTGCCTTGACCACAGAACCAAACCATGACCATCTGGTTCATAGGTTAACACTCAACCACTGAGCCATGCTGGCTGGGCTTTTTTGTTTGTTTTTTAACCAAGCCAAGAAATTTAAATGAGAAAAAAAACTTTGATTATGGAGACTTAGAGGAGTGGCCCCCAGATGGGCGTGAGCCCACCAGCCGCTGGTGTCTGAGTCAGCGCTACTCGGGTCCCCAGGACAATCCACAAGGGCCGTAGGCCCTGAGCTGGGTGAAGTTGGTCCAATATATCTAAATTCTCAGGAAAACGTTCAGCCGAAACCGGTTTGGCTCAGTGGATAGAGCGTCGGCCTGTGGACTGAAGGGTCCCAGGTTTGATTCCGGTCAAAGGAATGTACCTTGAATGTGGGCACATCCCCAGTAGGGGGTGTGCAAGAGGCAGCTGTCAATGTTTCTCAATCATCGATGTTTCTAGCTCTCTATCCCTCTCCTTTCCTCTCTGTAAAAAATATATTAATAAAAAGAAAAAGAAAGAAGAAAAAGAAAAACTTTCAGCCCCCAAACCTCCAACTGGTAACTTCTACCTGCCGGGGAAGCAAACATCTGGTTTCAGGAACCTTCCTGTATTTGGCCTCCTTACCCTGCAGATTCAACCTGACACTTGGTAAGTCAGTTCTTTCTTTCCTGTGGAGAATTTAAGGCGGGGAAGAGGAGAAGCAAAGCTGCCACCTTTAGTGGGAGAAAAGGCTTTTCAATCCTATTTTAAAAGACAAAAGTTGGTGTTTACAAATGAATTAATGGCCCATTAATATACCACAAATAGCCTAAACCTGTTTGGCTCAGTGGATAGAGCGTCAGCCTGCAGACTGAAGGGTCCCAGGTTCAATTCCGGTCAAGGGCGATACCTTGGCTGCGGGCACATCCCCAGTAGGGGGCGTGCAGGAGGCAGCTGATAGATGTTTCTAACTATCTCTACCTTCTTCT